TGGCTGTGGAATTCTGGGAGTTGAAGTCCACACATCTTAAAATTCCCAAGGTTAAGAAACACTGTATTAGGCTAAGAATTAAAAAGAGCTTCCCCATAGAGTTAATAGCCATTCTTGTCAGTCACAGAAAAAAAAAGATGTTTCAAGAGTGATGAATTCAGACATCTGTAACTGAGGAAAGCAATGCAGTACTTTTTCCCACTCTAAATAGAAATGGTTGAGATCAGACAATATAAACTCTAAAGACCATCTTTCATTTGAAGATGGATTCTCAAGCCAGCAGCTATAATCAGTGCATTCCAACCATTGTCTGCACACAAACCACCTCTCCAGATGCATTCTTGCTTGTGCCAAAAAATGTTGAGTGGGAATGTCATCCCGCATCCAACACCTGATCCCAACCACAGTATACATGTATTGACTGATGTAGGCAGGTATTCAAGAGATCACCAACAATATTTGCTCAAATACTGCCAAAAGCCTATTTAGATTTGTGAAGACTGATTCCAGGCACTTCTCCCCTGCATAACAGGTAATCAACACCATCAAAGCGGAAACTACCAATTGTTCCTATAGGGTGGAGAATTATTTTGACACCACACTATTCATGCAGAACTTTGGATTAAGACTAGCAAATCTAAATTCTTCTTTAATCAATGTTGAATTTAGAATACTGCCTACATCAATACAGACGCACAGCTATTCTGGAAGAACATATGGTTCTTTGGGACCAAAATTTCTAATATCTTGCTTCTAAACATGTAAAGAAGTTCCCTTTATCAATAAACCAGCTACTTATCAAAATTCAGCACCATTTACCAGGGGGATGCACAATTTTCTCAGTTTGGTGTCCTTTTTTCACTTCTTCCTCTTCCTCCTCCAGAAAAAATCCTCCTCCTGTATCTATCGTTTTTGGAGGTGCTTTAACTTTTGAACTGCCTGGAAAGATAAAATAACAATTTAACTAGGCACCTGTACAGATAAAATGACTTTGCTTTGAAATGGCTCCATAACATTCGTTAACTAAACTACTTTCAGTCACTGAAGAGGCAGCAGCTTCAACACTTTGTAGTGTAGAAATATATACATCCAGACATCTCGTACTCACCTCAAACTGTGATGCATCAGATTTAATTTATAAAACAAACTGGGAAGATATGAGTGAGTTCATATATTGCGATAAGCCATTGTTTAATTAATCACACTTCACTGAATGAAGCACAATTGGACGAGTTTGCACAAGATGCTAATAATAAAACATGGAATGACCGTGGCTTGGTTTAGCCAGCACATTAAGCCAATAATGTCAGCAAGTATTTTTCCCTCAGGTTTGAATAAAACCTCCCTCACTGTGGCTTGTCCTACCAAAATTCTTCCTTAGTGCTATATGTGAATGCAGGCTGTGAATATAAGTTCCACGAGAGGTCTAGTACAGAGATAATATTATGGGAAGCAGTGTTAGCTTCTCTGTGCACTTACTACAAAGGAAGATGGCAACTCTTCTTTCCATAAGCATGTTTAATTTCCCAGAATGTACGACTTATTAGGGAAAGTCTTAAGAACTGCCCTATGCCATCTCCTTCTTCACATGATTTCCTTACAGCAGCCTAAAGTATACAAACCAACAGGAGCTCTGTCCATCTGATTGCCCCACATATGACATAACAACAGGATACAGCAAACCTTCACCAGCAGAAGGGTAGGGCCGGGTCGCCAGTCTAGCCTGCCTGAGCATCAAAGCCCGCTGACGGTTCCTCTCAATCTTTGCCCTCATGGTCTCGGAGAGTGTGGCCTTTTCTCCTTTGGCAGCACTTGGATCCATGGCCAGATTCGGAACCAGTCAGCTAAAAATGTAAAGAGAGTAGGGGTAGTTGAGGAGTAAAATCAGTAGCCAAAGGAACTACTAAATACCAATCTGGACCATATTTAACAAAATGTGGAGTGAGATGGGATGGCATATTTCAAAAGGGGGATAAATAGTCCAGGGAAGAGAAGCCTGTGACTCTCTAGATCAGTGTTTCTCAACCTTGGCAACTTTAAGACGTGTGGACTTCAACTGACTAGGGAATTCTGGGAGTTGAAGTCCACAGAACTTAAAGTTGCGAAGGTTGAGAAACACTGCTCTAGATGTTGCTGAATGATAAGAATCAGCAGTTTCAGCCAACATGAACAAAAAGGAGGGGTGCTGGGAGTTATAATTCAGTATCATCTGGAGAATCACAATTCCCCATTACTGACTTAAGTTGTCGCAGCAAATGCAACAAAGTTTCCAAGGAATGTAATAGCTTTTATATATTTATTGAGAGACAGCTTGGTTAAAGTAGTTAAAGGCAATGGATTAGAAACTGGGAGCTTGTGAGTTCTGGTCCTGCCTTAGGCACAGAAGTCTGCTGAGTCCCTCTCTCTCTCAGCCCTTGGAAGAAGGCCATGGCGAACCACCTCTGAAAATCTTGTCAGGAAAACTGCACGGGCTGTTCCAGGCAGTCACCAGGAGTCAAGACTGATTGGAAGATTGAGTGTGTGTCTCTTGCTGAATAGTGAAAGGACCCAGAGTCTCCCAGCCAGTCCCTTGTCCTGAAATGAATTAATTTTCTGCAGACTCTTGACCTACCAAACAGCAGTAGTTCCTCAGAGCAAATTTCCCAGAAGGGAGACAGAACATTTCAATTCAAAACACTTTCTTCCTTTTTTTTTTTTTTATCAGTGCTGGAGGCATTTAAGATTAGCAACAGTTGAATGTAATTTCCAACACGACTCATTCTTTGATCTCTCTCTCAGGGGAGAATCTGATCAAAAAGAAGGAGATGCTATCTGAAAGTGACAAAACTTAATCACTACAGACCTTTAGGAAAGTTCTCTAAACTCATTCAAGAAGGGGCTGAATTGTCAGGAACGCTTTAATTTTGATTCTTGCACTGAGGAAACGTTGGGCCCCATGGCCTCAATGAACTTTTTCAATTCTATGATTTTCATTGCCTTCTGCATTTCTGGGACTGCTGATAGTTTTGATTACATTTTAGAATAGGAGGTATTTATTTTATATCATCTTTGGTTTTCATTAATGGGATGTGTATTATTTTTGGAGGCAGCCTTGAAAGAGATCTGAAAAGGCTGTTTAATTGTGCTCCAAATGAAGAACTAAAACATTAAATAGTTGGTTTACATAGTAGAGATACAAAGATGTGTTTACTCTTTCACTGGGATATGGCTGTTTTGCTCTGATTCCAACGGTTCTCCATACATTCCAATTTTTAGAGGGTTTTTTTCCCTAAAGGTTTCACTTAAAATATTTTAAAAATCTTGTTTACTATTTTAGATGACATTTTTATAAGAATATATATTGCATACAGACAAAGTCAATAAATACTATATAAGTTACTGTGACATGCTGCTTTTCTGGATTGGCTACATCTCATTTTATCAGATCCATAAAAAGACAACCTCAGATGGAAAATATGTATTTCTATAGGCCAACCAAGGTTTACAGTTCACCACCTGGCCATCTTGGCAGACCGTGGAAACTAAATAGGGTTGGCCTGAACTGGCATTTCGATGGGTGATTCTTGGGAATTCTAGGGCTGCTCGATCGTAAGTCGGGGGGGAAAAAAAAAGCTACGGCCATCCATTTCGCAACGCTGCCAGAAAAACTGCATAGATTCAACCCCCAGGAGGTGACCCCACTGATCAAGTGGGCTTCAGTGCACAAAAGCTCAATCTCCCGAGGTTTGGAAATGTCAAAGCTCCTTGTTGTTCTTCCTTGATGGTATCAACAAAGGTGATTTATCAACGCCCCTCCCCGCAAAGGTTAGCCCACGCCGCCTGCCAAACGGGGTGACAGAGGGAAACGGAGGCAAAAATTGGTGCCCGCTCCAGGCACAACCCTGCTTGGACCCCCCGCCACCGTTATTCCCGCCACGGGGCTCCCCTCCCCACGTAAGCTTGGTCCCGCGGCATCTTCACTTCGCGCGTCCCGCCTTGGAAGCACGAAAATCCGAGAAGACCCTCCTGACGTCACAATCGCCGCAGCTACTTACAGGGAACTCAAAAGATCCGGCTTCATGAGCAGCGTGCGCATGCGCTGGCACAGGCCCAGCCCCCCGGTGATGCAATGGGGCGCTTGTGACCATAGACTTGAAAATGAAGAAAAGACCTTCCGTATGTAGCGAATTTTCCAATTTTTTTCCAGTTGACAGGAAGAATTTTTAAAAATTATTCTCCATTTTAAAATCCCCCTGTACGATTATCTTTATATTGCGCAAGTGTTGTATGATCTCTAGTGCAAACCGCTAGCTATGCTAAGAGAATAGCTCTGCAAAGGTAGGCTAACACCGCAAGACAGAGCTGAGGCTGATTTCGGTGGATTCCCCGCCAAAGTCCCCCATGCAAAAACTGACCCAGGTTGTAACCAAGATCAAATCCAATCTCTTAGGCCCGCGTAGAAGACGCTTTCTCTTCGGACGTATATGCAGATCCTCAAGAATGGAGGCAATTACATATTTACAAAAACGAAGGCCGATTATGAAAGAGCAAGAAACTCCATATTTTCTGATGACGTGCGTTTGACAGGGAGCCGCTTGGACTGCTGGGAGTTGTAGTTCAACCACATGCGGTTTATAAATTGCCCAACACAGAAAGTAAAGCAAGCACGTGGTGTTTTTGACAACGACAGTAGAGTGCGCTGAAACCTTTGCAAATTGATAGCTTATACTTTCATACAGGTTGCTTAGTTAATTTAAACATACAGAATTATGGGTATACTTAATTTTACAGAAAGTTAACCTGCAATCTTTTGAATTTAATTTGAAATTGAAATTATTATGTGTCATCAAGTCAGTGTTGACTTTTAGTGACCATGTAGATAGATTTTCTCCCTGACCTAGTCTTTCAGGTCTTTCAGTGGTGCACCCATTACCACTGTAACTGAATCCATCCATCTCACTGCTGGGCATCTTCTCTTTCCTTCCACTTTTCCCAGCATTACGGTCTTTTCCAGAGAGCTAGGTCTTTGCATAATGTGTCTGAAATAGGATAATTTGAGCCTGGTCATTTGTGCCTTGAATGAGAACTCTGGGTTGATTTGTTCCATGATCCATCAGTTTGTTTTCTTGGCTGTCCACAATATTCTCAGGAGTCTTCTCCGACACCTAAGTTCAAAAGCATCAATACTCTTCCTATCCTGCTTCTTCAAAGTCCAACTTTCACTTCTATAGAGTGTCATGGGGAATGCTTGCACCATTCTGATCTTTGTAGGTGTAGTCGCATCAGGGCATCTGAATATCTTTCTAAGGCCTTCATGGCTGCTCTACTGAGTGCTAGTCTGCAGAATATTTATTGACTGCTTATTCCTTTACTGCTGATGGCCTATCCCGAAAGGCAGAAGCTATCTGCCACTTCAATATCCTCCTTGTCAATTCTAAGGCTGGTTTTGTACCTGTTGTCATCAATTTGGTCTTGGAGAGACATCTGACTGGCCCTGGCCCCCAGTTTTCAGTAGCCCAATGTTGTAGCTGAATGTCACAGATGGGGAAAGAGATCCAAATACCATATACATGACTTGGAAGGTGATACTTCTCACTATGACAGACACCGGAATGCCATCAGGGGGTTGTGCTTTGGCAAGAGTAATAATGTGTTCCTAACAAGCAGACCAGCCCTGCTTGGTTGAAAGTTCTCTGCACTCCGCTGCTGGCCAGAAAGAGCAACTGCAAACTGGTGATTAAACTTCCAGCCAAGAAAGCCTGCCTGCCTCAAGAGCATCAGAGTATCCTGGCAGAATTAGAAACAGGAAACAGCTTCATCACTCCCTGTTGCATTTAACTGCGGAATGAGAAGCACCCATTCATGCTTTTCAGCCTTGTTTTACCACACAAATAACCCACTCTTACTACATTTGACTTTCAGGCTTCTTCTTTATTAGGGACTGAAGAGTGCGCAGTGGTGTTTCAATAAACATGTTCTACCAAGACTTACCTTCTTTTTTCAAATGATTATATATTGAAAACAAGATATTAAGTGACTGACAAAGATAGGTAATCAATTATAGGTGGTCCGATAAAAGATCGAGGACTAGATTCAAGATTTTCAGGATTCAAGAGAGCAGGGAGGACCGATGGCTCCAAATTTTAAATTGTACTCCCATGTGAGTTGTTTAACATGGATTTCAGAATGCATTGTATTTCCTTATGGTTCTGCTACTTCTATGGAACAGCCAGGAGTTTCAGATCATTTGCATAAATATCTTTGGGTTGATACAAATGGAAATAAACAATTTGTAAGAGACCATGCAATAAGGAGTAATATACTGAATATTTGGGACAAATACAGAAAAAAAAATAAATCCAGGGTTTCCCCCCTTAGCTTTGTTATTAAATGTCTATTTTTATGAAGAGAAGGATACCAAAACATTGTTCAGTGGAAAGGCAATCATTCAGATCGTGAGACTTAATTGCTAAGAAGAGGAAGATAACCTGATTGGTTTAGGTTCCTTCAAATAAGTAGTTCAGCATGAAAAGAATGGCAGAAACAAGGGGGAATATTGAGAGATTTGACAGGATTTGAAAAATCTTATACAGGTAGTCGTTGACTTACGCTAAACATTTGTTTAGCAACTGTTTGAAGTAATGACAGTGTTGAATGAATGGTGGTTATAACCGGTTCTTGGAATTCTGGCAATCCCAGCACCCCCACAGTCACATGATCATGATCTGGGTGCTTGGCAACTGGCTCACACTTACAACCGGTTGCAGCGCCCTGTGATCACATGATCGCCATTTGCAACCTTCCCTACCGGCTTCCCCGGAAAGTCAATGGGGAAGCCAGGAGGGAAGGTCGCAAGTCACTGGGGTTAGTCTCCCCCACCCATGCACCTTCCCTTAGCCCCTCTGTGCTCATGCTGTACCAGCCACTCAAGCACCCCTGCGCACCCTCCCCAAGTCTATGCCTCCCTCACACCCTCACGTATCGCCTCATGCCCTCTGCCACCCAGCAGCAGCCACTTACTGCCTGCCAGTCTGCTTGCAAGCCACCTGGGACTTGCAACTTCCTGCCAGCTTCCCCACTGAAATCATTGTGGGAAGCGGGGCAGGAAATTGCCTTGCCTAACAATCGTGGGATTCGGTTAATGATAATAGAGGTAATAGAGATGCAACAATGGGAATTCCAATGGAAGAAAAATATTAAATTTACTCCAGATATTATATTCAGAGAAAATTGGTACAAGATGTTCTATCATTGGAATATTACTTGATTGCTAAAATGAATAATCCACTTTCTAAAAAGTGTTGGAAGTTTAATGAGCAAGTTGGATCGTTTTTTTCACATTTGGTGGCAACACAAACCTCAACAATTTGGAAAACGATTCATGGTAGAATGAAACAAATTTTGAAAGTTGATTTCCCTTTGCAATTGGAGATATTTTAATTAAATTTTACTAAACCATACATTCCTTCAAAAAACTACCTCTGTATATGTTAACTGCAACAAGGATATTCTATGCTTCTTCTTGGAAGAATGGCTAATCAAGTTATGGGACTTGATTATTATTATATTATATATATTATTATTTATATTAATATTATATAATATATATATTATGTATATATTATATTATATTATATTATATTATATTATATTATATATGAATTATATAAATATTCAAAACTTCATATTTAAAAAGTAAATCTAATGTAGAATTCTAACTAGAAACCATTCTTGGACTTCAACTTACTATATGGATCTGCACCACATCCCACATTTGGGGGGTTTTAAATAGAGAGTTCAGATTTCTACTTTATAAGAAATTAGATTCCTAGTCTTGACTTTATTTTTAATAGCCTATAATTCTAGTTAGTGATTTATACTGTATTAACCAGGTATTTTTAGTTTAAAGCTGAATAGTGACTCTAGACTGTTCTTTAAAAAGTAATACATGTTGTAGTTTTATAAATAACCAAGTTGCAACCTCCACAACACTTTAGATTCCACATTTACTTATTTGTATTTTAATCATGTATTTTAGTCTTCTATACTTTTCATATGACTTTCATGTTTCATGTTTTATATTTTTTTTCTAAAATGCTTAATTTAAGAAATATCTTTTTTAAACATATGGCAATAAATAGAGGACAGTCTGGCACTCTGAGAGAAGCTGTTGTGTCTGGACTTTCAGTTGGTGTTTAAGGCCTTCTTGGAGTTGGATTTTTCTGTACCTCTTTGCTGCTGTCTGGTAGCCCTAAGCAATTAGAGGTAATGAAGACAGTCACTCCTGACTCTGTCAATCAGAGTTTTTCTACATTGCAACCTTCAGCTGCTTGATTCCTGTGCATAAACTGGTTAGAAATGAAGCTGCCTTAAGAAATCCCTTTCTGGTTTTTAACCACTACTCTGCTTTGGCCTGATGTTTTGTCTGGACTATGCTTACCATAGCCCCAGCCTGGTGGATTCCCCTGCTTCCTTTACCTCTCTCACCCATGTCAGGAAAGCAAGCCCCAGACATGTTCCTATCTGTGGGTGCATCTTTGAAGACATTTGATTTCCCTTGATAGACCTTTTGTATGAGGGCTCTCACTGACTCCCACCGTACCTGACCCCCTCTGATGCATCAACAGATGGACCAGTTAAAAAATGGAAAGAAAAGCACCAGTTACCATTACTGTATTGTTATTACTTGGGGACAAGGGGAAACTGACAGAACTTTTCAATTTCAACAGGTTAAAAAAAATAAAAGAAATGTCTACTTTCTAGCAGGGAGGGAGGGAGGGAGGAAGGAAGGAAGGAAGGAAGGAAGGTCCATGTTTCATCTGTAAAAGAAAAATTAAAAAGCTCAGCCTTTGACAAGTACATCAGTGAACCTGTAAAAGAGAGAGAGAGAGAGAGATCACCAGCCTTCCACTAGTGAAACAAAGGAAAAAACCCCAAACAAATAGCCCAGTAGTCCAGGATGAAAGGCACATGGAGGACCGTAACTAATGACCAGAGGGCCTTGAAGAAAGAATTTGACTGTCACGTAAACATCATCTTAGCCCAGATGGAGAGGAGGAGATGAGGAAATAACTCAGGACTGCCATGCCTTGATTTTCTTTAGTATAAGAGGGGAGACAAAGAAACTCTGACGGGCTCTGAAGACTCTTTTATCATTTCCTATAACAATAGCATTCTAGCAGTTCACGTGGGGTCTGTTTCCTGACCAGGTCTACCTCAAAAG